AAGAGAGATTGCGAGAAAGGTGTCAAGGTACGGGTGTGTTGTGTCCTTCTAGTTGGTCAATGATTGCGCGAGTCTCAACGTCATCGTGTTGTCATGCGATCAACTCTGTTGCAGTGAAGACTCCGAGGAAGCCGCTGTTATTGTCGGAATCACAAACTCCAGTAGGTGCACGGGACAAGGAATCAGCATCTTCGTGCTTGCAGCCTGATTCATAGACAATGGTAAGGTCAAATTCTTGCAAACGAAGACTCTATCATGCCAGACACCCAGACGGGTCTCGTAAATTGGCTAACCAGCACAATGAGTTATCATCAGTCTCTATGTTGAAGTGACGATCGTGGAGGTAAGGCCTGAATTTCATGATGGCCCACACTATTTCTAGGCACTCCTTCTCCGAGGTGGAAGAGTTCATCTTAGCGTGAGGCAGGGTACGGCTGGCATAAGCTATCACACGCTCGTTGCCTTCTTGAAGTTGGACTAGCATGGCGCCGAGACCTACATTGCTCGCATCGGTGTGAACTTGGGTGGCAGCATCCCCGCCGAAGGGAGCAAGAACTGGTGGTGCCTGCATACGCTCACGTAGATTGATAAAAGCCGCGTTCTGTTCTTCATTCCAAACTAATGGCACATTGTCATGTGTGAGACGAGTCAGAGGCTCGGCAATTCTAGAAAAATTGGCGATGAAGCGACGATAGGTGCACAGGCGGAGAAAGCGACGTACTGCTTTCTAGTCACGTGGAACGGGAAAAGAGGCTATGGCGGTTGTCTTGTCGGGGTCAGGTCGAACACCGCTTGCGCTCACATCATGGCCCAAAAATTTAAGGTCCTTATAGCCATAGTGGCATTTTTCTGGCTTCAGCATGAGGTTCGCAGAGTGGAGCGCTTCTAGAACAGCCTGTAGACGCTTCAAGTGTTCCTCGAAGGTGACAGAAAACATGACGACATTATCGAGATAAACTAGGCAGGTGTTCCACTTCAGACCGGCTAGAACAGTGTCATACATTCTTTGGAACGTCGCTGGTGCAGAACACAGGCCGAAGGGGAGCACCTTGAATTCATACAGGGCATCCGGTGTAACAAAGGCAGTTTTTTCTCGGTCTCTTTCATCAACCTCATTCTGCGAGTATCCGCTTTTCAAGTCAATGGATGCAAAATACCTTGCCCGCCGTAGTCTGACTAGTGAATTATCGATGCGTGGTAGAGGATACACGTCTTTTTTAGTCACGTCATTCAGCTTTCTGTAGTCCACGCAGAAACGCGACGATCTGTCTTTTTCTTTACAAGAACGACTGGTGATGACCACGGACTATTGGACGGCTGTATAACATCATCCTGAAGCATTTATTTGACTTGAGCTTCGATCGCGTCACCTTCTTTGGCCAGTGTTGTTGCATTCTGGGAGACATCGGTGTGCGTAATAATCTGCTGTTTCATAAGGGGCGTTCGACGCACTTTTGAGGACGAAGCGAAACACTCTTGGAATTCAAGCAATAGCTCCTGCAGCGCTGTGCATTCTTGCTGTGTGAGACTCTGATTCATGTCCACCTTTGCAAGAGCCGTATAAACGCCTGTCGATGTCGATTGTAGCCCGCTGCTCATTGATGTAGCGGAAAAACATTCAGCAATGTCTTCGATGGGGTAGGCGAAAGCAACAGCTGTGTGACGAAAAAGGTGTCCCTGCTCATTACTAAAATTTGTCACAAGCAGCGTGGCACGTCTGTCGTGAAGCGCGATGAGGCTGCAGGCCGCGCAGACACCTTTGCTGAAAAAAAGTGTCAAGTTGCCTTTGGCGACTGCCTCACCGTCACGTAGCTCGTCACACACGACATCAACCAGAACGCTTGAACGCGGGGGCAACGTGATTGTGTGATTGTGTCGGCCGAAACACCAAACGTGCAGAGATGGCTGTCATCAGGCTTTTCTGCTGCTTTCTCTGTCGAGAATGTCATGGCGCCCTGCTGGAGGTCAATTATAGCTCCGTATTCACGTAAAAATTCAGTGCCTAGGATGAGGTCTCGCGAGCATTCGGGAAGTATAAGGCAGCTGCAGAAAAATGTGCGTCCGCGAATGCAGACTCTAGTCGCGCACATACTGAGAGGGGTGACGACATGCCCGCCGGCTGTACGGATTTGTGTGTCATAGCACGGCGTACCAACTTTCTTGAGATGCGTCGCCAGTTTTCTGTTGATGATAAAGTAGTCATATATATATATATATGTATGTATATATATATGATCGAGCACTAGCATCATGGCGGCCGTCGAGCACTAGAGGTATGTCTAGGGAAAGTCGGCTTTCTGATTTGGGAACTGTCATCGTTGAATCGCTCTTGTACTCGCATTGATAGGGGCCCTTGCTCGTGTCGTTTATCAGCGGCACCGCCCCCTAAGGTCGCTGTCGTTAGTTTTCCCGCCTAGGGCTGGGCGACCACTCCTGGGTAGTTCGGGACGCTTGACAAAGAACTTCTGGGAGATCGGGATTGTGACTGGCGCCGTGGAAGCAGTGGAAGTGCATGGCGAGGTGTAGGATGTACAAAATGGCACGGAGGGGCGCAACGACTCGCAGCTTCGGCGTACGATGCAGGAGGGACGTAACAGTTCACCAGCCTCGGCATATGGTGTATGGTGATGCTCCGTCAGTCCAGGCGGGGAATAATCACTGGGAAGCGGGACTTGCAGAGCCTGCTGTACTTCACTCCTGATGAGGCTTGAGATGGATCCTGCACCAGGTGGAGGCGGACCGTGAATGTTTTGCAGCTGTCGCGTACCACTGATCAGATGAGGTCGCAGAGAGCTTCGAGACTGACATTACTCCCCGCAATTCCAATCTGGTCCATAGTCCAACGTTTCTTAGTTATTTCATGCTCCAACAGAATGAGGTTGATCGTTTCCGCAGCTTCTCTGACATCATATCACGCAAGGCTTTTTTGCATGTTTTGCTGATCATTTCCTGATGCACACCCTTCAAAAGAAAGTGGATTCTGGTGGGGACCGAACCTGGGTCGTTTGCATGGCAAGCGGTTGTTCTACCACGCGGCCACGTCTCTGCTTGTGGAAACGGTGACAAAAACTTCTCCTTGGAAGTGCAGTAAAAGTAGCTTTCATGCTTAACAAAAGTACTCACGTTCTGTTTATATGCTTCACATTCAACGTGAAATATTGCAGTAGCAATGCATGATCAAGCGTCCATTGCTAACGGGTGTCAGAATATTGCCACCTGACTATGAACTGCGTAGAGCGCGAGGCCGCATCTAGCAGAAACATTAGAGGAAGTCGTTTTTGGGGCAGTGGCGCTCTCCCCAAGGCTTTTTGGTTGTGTCGCGTCACTGACCTACGTCTCTGCGACTACGCGGTATTCTTTAGCCGAAGTCCCTCTTTTTTACACGCGACGACTAGTGGTGTCGCTGGGTATTCAAAGCCAATAATCCAAACGCCTCCTGGTAGTCCTGTGCCTGCAGTCACAACTCTTGTCCACCGGGCCAGTCGGAAAATTCGAGGGTTGTCCCCCGAGCGTGAACCTCTGCCGGAGATTACGTCTACTGCACCACCCCAGAGCGGTACAGAAAATACTCGGATGGCTAATTACACGCTGCACAAGCCACGAGTGCCGAAGGTGTTCCGCGGCTCCTGTTGGAGGATGTCATGGAGTGGTTGGCTCACTTAGAACGCGTTGCTGCTCTCAACGAGTGGACCGACACCAACAAGCTGCGGAAGGTTTATTTCAGCCTTGAGGATGGAGCTCGTATTCGGTACGAGAACCGCGAACCCTTCTCGTCGTGGATGGTATTTTGCCAACAGCTGCTGGCAAGTTAGGCCAACCCCCATCACCGTGAACGAGCGCAGCGGGCCATTCAATCATGCATTCAAATGCCGAAGGAAAGCGTGATGATGTACGTGGAGGACATGACAAGCCTTTTCCGTCGCGCCGACCCAGGTGTGCCAGAAGACAAGAAATTGCGGCATCTAATGTGATAAGTTAAGGAGCAGCTCTTCGCTGGTCTCGTCTGAAGTCCCCCGAATACTGTAAAAGAGTTTTCAACTGAAGCTACGACGATGGAAAACATGCTACAGCAGCGATCGGCTGTGTACGACCGCCATGTCAATGTTGCTTCGCCGGTGGACCAGATTAGAATTTTGGGGGAGTAATGTCAGTCTAGAAGCTCTCTGCAACCTCATCTGATCAGTAGTACGCGACGAGCTGCAAAAGATTCATGGACCGCCTCCACCTACTGCGGGATCCATCTCAAGCCTCACCAGGAGTGAAGTACAGCAGTATTCGGGGGACTTTGCACAAGACCAGTGAAGAGTTGCTCCTTAACTTCTTGCATTAGGTGATGCAATTTCTTGTCTTCTGCCATAGCTGCATTCACGCAAATGGTGGCCAACTTTTGCTGCCCGTTCATCACAACTCCCGTTCTGGCCACCTTAGCACCGTGCGTTGCAGCTCCCATGGACACTAGTGCCAGATTTTTCTCTAGTGTATATTTAGCAAACTCTATGGGACGAACAACCCATGGCTATGACATGGTAGGGTTGCTCGTAGCTGCACACAATGCGATACATGTGCTGGGGAGGTGTATAATATGTTGCATCATCTCGTTTTAACAGCTTGTTATTTTCAAAAATTGTTTAAAAGCTCAAAATAAATGTCATCAAGCATAATTACAAGAACTCGTGCGGAAGCAGGACAACGACAGCTTTCACAAATCTCGAGAAGGGCTGGCGGTATCGCTATCAGTTCGCAACGTTGCTGGAGCAAAGGTACAGTAGGCTTGCAGATCGAGAGGTACTGCTTGCAAAATTAACTAGTGAGCATTTCAGGATTAATTTTAGCATTTGAGTTTGCTGCAGCTACAGATGCTAGGAAAGGTCAGTTTTCTGTCACGCCTTAAAAAATGGTTTGAGAAAAATCAGTTGCCGGTCCCTTTAACAGTAAATATAAATTGTGGGAAAGTGCCGTGCAAGGAGTGAGATCGGCTGTCTTCTCTATTGCTTTTCCAGGAGGACTCACTTGAAGCAACGTGCATTGTCAAGTCCACAAGAATTCGTGCCCCTTGCGTTCTAGAAACGGACGTCAGTGCGCCGCAAGCCAGGGCGACGGATTTTGTGTGTTGTATGGACGGTTGATCGTAATTGCACGTAATAAATGTACACTTGTGCACAAAGAAAAGCAGGCCACTGGCAAGACCTCCCATCGTCCACCTGAAATGTGTTGACCCAAGAATTCTTTGTACATGTTATGCCACCCCTGAAATATTTTTAAAAGACTTGTGGTATTGCTAAGGTATACAGCCGTTTTGGCCTATTGGTTTTGCATGTCAAGAGGTGAAAGCGCTTAAGACGAAGACAGGAGAGGCTTGACACACACGAGCGCTAACTTAGAACACTATTTTATTGAGAAAGAAGCAACCACACATGAACTGCAGTAAGGTACGCAGAACACTATTTTATTGAGAAAGAAGCAACCACACATGAACTGCAGTAAGGTACGCATTTCAGAAGTTTGGTTCATGATTGCTGGTGAAAAAAACAACGCTAAACAGCAAAGAAACAGGACAAGAAATCACGCAACACCACAGTGCCGTGGTCCCGTGTCCTTTCTTGTCCCATTTTTCAGTGCTGTTTTGTTGGGATATAATAATTATATGGGCAGTCTCAACGAGGTTTGGCCTTCGCCGTTATGTCGCGTGTGAAGTCCGGATTGATCAGGTTTCGCAGCGCATCGTACATTTTAACCGCAAGTAACTTTGTGCGAACGGGGGCGACGAACGCGGTTGTGATCAAACAAGCCATCCCATCGTCGCTCCGAGGCGCATGCGATAAGATCTCCTTGCTTGTTGGACCGGCCGACTAATTATTGCTCAAGCAGAGAGTCCCGCCTGCTTTTAACGAGCATGAAAAAAACGCGAGGGAAAATGGGGGGGGTCTCTCAAACAGCAACTGGTACTTTTAATCTACTAGCATGGTCGTCGCTGGCGCATGCGTTATCTCGCTATCACGATAACTGTCAGGGGCGGCTCGCTTGATTTCAAATAAAATATGTTGTAAGTCGGCGCTCATGTGTGCCAAGCCTCTTCTCTGTCTTCGTCTTTAGCGCTTTATCCCTGTGACCTAATAGTATTATAGATCACAACGTAACGCACCCACTCTTCCCATATGTCATCTACATTCTGTAGAAACTGCTGCATCGTAGCATTGTTGAATAGGCAGTCTTACTGTTGTGTTATAGCATTTGCCTGCTTTGCGAGCCATAAATTTATTATAATTAAGTTTGTCCTCTGTAAACTTAAACACTAGGGAATTGCACTGCTAAACTGATGCGCGAAATTTCCTTTCGTTTCTGGGCAGAAATACAAAAGGACAACTCGAATACTCTATTCACCCTCCAGAAAGCCTGAAATGTTGCACCCTAATGACCACGTAGACCTCGTGACAATCCATTAAATACTGAATTAATACAAAGCGACACCGCCGCCAATGAACTTCAGGCCAGGCAATAGCGATAGAATGCTTAACGGGAAAAAGAAAAGAAGTCCCCGACAGTGGCCATACCTGTGCGCAGCTATTTAGGTGTGTGGCAGCTTGGGCTAGTTGGTATGACATGATGATAGTTATAGCACGAGAAACAGAACGACGACACAGAGACAAGAAGGACACAAAGGACACGAGCGCTCGTGTCTTTGTTGCCTCTGTGTCGTTCTGTTCTCGCGCTATAACTATCGTTATGCTATTTAGGTGTTCTCATTTGGCGATCAGTTGAGGCGGTTGAGACGTGACTGCATCGCCCGTTCCACAGCAGCGTCCCCAAGGTCTATGTAAACTGGTAGCGTATGTTATAGGGGGTCCGTCCCACGTACGGCTGACGCAGAAGCCTAGCTAATGTTTCAGTCGCACACAGTCGTGCCGTGCACAATTAACGTCCCCTATCCATAGCTTGTCTCATTGCACCTACACGGATTCGGGGGAATAAGACAGCAGGCTATGTCAACAACAACACTTTATTGCTAGGCGTTAGCAATAGCGCGCAAGTTTCGCGAGGGGAAAGTACAGAAACAAGGGTAGATGCTTACTCCTTGGTCGTCGTTCTCGGCTCGCAGGGTGGTTGCGGGTTCGACCTCCTTCTTCCAAAGCCGGTGTCAGAAAGCGTGCGGCCGTCAGCACACTAGTTTTGTCCACTGCCCCGGTTTCCCTCTGTCTGAAGAGAATAATACCTTTTCTCACTGAGGGAGGGGAAACCCGTTCCGCGTGCCGGGAAAAAGAGTGGGGGAATTGCAGGTGCGCACCGGCCTCGCGCTGCCGTAAAAGGAAAAGGGAGGCTAAGCGTACGTGCCCCCCCCCCCACATCCTCCCACCCTAAGGAGGCCCCCGAACGACAGAGACTGCAACATGAGAATATTTTGTTATTCATCATCGATCGAGGAAGGCTAAGACGGAGGATCCAAATCCGTGCCCTCCTGCGGTTGGCCCTCTGCCGTGGCTGCCCCCGCTGCCCCCACTTGTCGTCGGTGCATCCAAAGTAGCCAGTGAAGGAAGATGGGAGAGCAAGGGTGGAGGCCCAGTCAGGGAAGAACATTGTAGAGGACAGCATGGAGGGCGAAAATCTCGTCATTATTCACGCTGAGCTCAATGATGTGTTGAAGGGCAAGGATCAGAACCTTCAGAGACAAAGGATGGGATGCGTAAGCTCCGAGAAGCCTCTGGGAGTGTGCATGTCTGGGAGTGTGCATGTCATGTGACCATATGCACAGTCCCAGAGGTCTGGGGGCAGTCTCGTGGGATTGAAAGAAAGGAAGTGGAGGCCAACTGTGTGATCAAGGATATGAGCCGGCAACTCGGATACAGTGTAATGGAAGTGAACCAAGACGTCTACGATCCCGTCGCTCGCCCCTTTGCACAGGATGGCATTCACTACAGTGCTGCGACGGGCAGGAGGGTCGGTAATAGGATGGCTCGTCAAGCCACAGCTTCTTTAGGGGGACACAGAGCCTTGAGGCCAACAGTGTAGCCAAAGACGGTTCTAAAGGGGTGCAAATATTTAAGCCACATGGAGTCTGTGGGAGAAGATATCGACCTAAGCACAAGGGCCGACCCAATTCAGACATAGGCTATATTAACATGCAAGGTGACAAGAATAGGTTAAAGGGGGAAAAGATAGAAGAGCAGTTGAACCAGGAGGAGCTGATTGTATATGGGGTTGTGGAGACACATCTTCGGGACATGGAGCAACCACCTTGCAATCCGGACTATGTATGGGAATATTGCAATAGAACAGAAGGCAGCAAAAAAGGAGCTGGAATCGGTGCATTCATACATAAGAGCATGGGTTGGCAAAGAGTCAAGCAGGGATGCATGGAACATTTATGGTTAAGAGGGAAAATAGCTGGGCAGATGACACTCCTCGGTTTGGTGTACTTGTGGACGGGCCAAAAGGCAAGAGAGGAAAACCAGGAAATGGTGCAATGGTGGAGTGTATATCAAAGGACATTAAGGAATTATGAGGAGAGTGCCAGATAATTATACTAGGAGATATGAACGCACACATAGAAGATATAGATGGGTATACTGACTCAACAGGCAAAATGATCATGGATATGTGTGAAAGGCATGATTTGATCATTTGCAACAGTACCGAGAAGTGTGAAGGGCAAATAACATGGGAGGTAGGAAGACTTCAGTCGACGATAGATTATGCACTGATGTCACATAGGATGTATGATAAGCTCAGGGGAATGCACATAGATGAAGGTGGCTCCAGAAGTCTGGGTAGCGATCACAAACGTATCAAGCTAAGTTTTGGAAGAGCAGGGAAAGCGGGAAGGAGACAAAATGAGCAACTACAGGAAAATTTTTATTCAGAAAGGCAAATATAAATAGCTACTAAACAAATTGACAAAGTAATCACTGAAGATAATAAAAGAGTTTGGGCATACGCGAATCTAATTAGACTGTTTAAGCTAGAGCTTGCTAAGGCACGTGACAAGTCACCCCGGAAAAGAAGACACAAACCCAAGAGTTGGTGGGATGAGGAAGATAAAGAGAGCCATAGCAAAACGTCAGGAAGCCTCTAGGGAACACAACCATGCTAAGCAGTGGGGTGAACAGACAGATGATGTTGAAAGAAATGGGAAATCTTTCTAAGCTGTAGAAGGGATGCATCCCTTCTGATCAATGAAAAGATTAGAAGAAAGAGAGCTCAGTGGCTGGCAGAAGTACATAAAAGGATAGAAAGGCAGCTGCGAAATTTTTGAACCACCTAAACTCCCTAAGAAAGAAGACAAGCCTAGAACAGAGGTTTATAACTACAGCTCAAGGTGCTAGACTAGAAGGCGACGGATCTATTGAATATATAAGAACAAGGGTGACAGAAAAATTTCGACAAAGAAGTGGTTTATACACTGCAATAGACAAGAATTAATCAAGTGGTGCAATGGCTCCATTTTCACAACTAGAGTGGGAAAAGGCTGAGAAGAGGGTTCCAAGTAGTACGTCAACAGGCCCAGATGGCATTCCAATTATGCTGATAAAGACATTAGGTCCGAAGTCTAAGCAGGCTTTGAGAGAGGCAGTGAATAAAATAATAATCGATGGTGAAGTCCCCGATGGATGAAAACTTAACAGGATGAGTATGATCCATAAAGGAAAGGGGGACAAAGCTGGCATGAACAACTACCACCCTATAACAGTGACATCAATGAACAGGCTCGCGATGCAGATTATAAAGGAATGACTGCAGGCATGGATAGAGGGTGAGGGGGTGCTGGGGAAACTGCAGAATGGGTTTCGGAAACACAGGAGGTTGGAAGAGAACCTGTTCTCACTGACGCAGTGCATCGAAATAGCAGAAAAGGAACACAGGCGCCTGTGGCTAGCATTTTTGGATATCAAGGGAGCATACGATAGCGTGGTTCAAGAGGGCTTGTGGAGAATACTGGACACACTAGGTGTGGAAGGTGAAGTCACTAATCTTCTAAAGGATATCTATAATGGTAACACGGCAGTTATAAAGTGGGAAAACAGGTATCCAAGCCTACAGAAGTAAAACGGGGGCTTAGGCAGGGGTGTCCCTTGTCACCCTTATTATTCATGATGTGCCTACAAGGAATAGAGGCCAAATTAGAGGGATGTGGACTGGGCTTCAACTTCTCTTTAGTCAAACAAGGAACACTCATTGATCAGGCACTACCAGCATTAAAGTACGCAGATGATATAGTGCTAATAGCCGACAACAAGGAAGATTTGCAGAGATTGATGGACATCTGTGGCAATGAGGGAGATAGGTTAGATTTTAGATTCAGGAAGGAAAAATCAGCAGTCATGATTTTCAATGACAACGAAGGTAGTGAGCTTAGAATACAGGAGGTCACGCTAGAGATAACAGATAAATACAAATATCTGGGCGTATGGATAAGCAATGGGACCGAGTATCTGAGGGAACGCGAAATATACGTGACGACTAAAGGTAACAGGAATGCAGCAGTCATGAAAAATAGGGCACTGTGGAATTACAATAGGTATGATGTTGTGAGAGGAATATGGAAAGGGGTCATGGTTCCTGGGCTGACGTTCGGCAATGCGGTCTTGTGCATGAGATCAGAAGTTCAAGCAAGATTAGAAATTAAGCGACGTGGAATAGGTAAGCTTGCTTTAGGAGCTCACGGGAATACACCAAATCAGGGAGTACAAGGTGATATGGGATGGACATCATTTGAGGGCAGGGAAGCTAGCAGCAAGATAAAATTTGAGAAACGATTGAGAGAAATGGGGAAAGAGCGTTGGGCTAGGAAGGTTTTCAGCTACTTGTACATGAAGAATCTCGATACAAAATGGAGGAAGCGAACCAGGAAATTGACTGGTAAATACTTAGAAAACAGCAGGTGGCCAAACCAAAAAGAACTATCGGTTAAGAAGAAAGTGAAGGAAACCGAGACTGACATGTGGAGAATTGGCATGATCAAGAAGTCCGCACTAGATATCTATCGAACTTTTAAGCAGGAAATTGCCTAGAAAAGGGTCTATGATAATGTTCGGGGTAGTTCTCTACTGTTTGAGGCCAGGACGGGAGTATTGCGATTAAAGACATATCGGGTCAAATACGAAGCGGTGGACACGGTATGCAGTGCATGTTGAAAGTAGGAGGAAACTGTCGAACACTTGATACTGTTTTGTAAAGGGCTTTACCCCATAGTTCAGGATAATGGCACAGGGTTTTTCAAAGCACTGGGGTTTAGGGACAGGGAGAGCAAAATAGACTTTAAGCGGGTAGACTTAACTAGAAGGAGCTTATATGATTGGTGGCTAAAGTCAAGGCACGAGTGAAAATTAAACCCTTCACTGCAAAGTACGTCTTCAACTTCACTATTTAAAGGGGGAAAAAAAGATTAATCTAGTGTTTAGTTTACTAAGTATTACGACTAGGTGGCGTTAGCCGCTGCCCGATCTAAAGGGTACAGCCACATCGATCCATCCATTCATCCTTCCAGCACGACACAAATGTGTATACAGCTCGCGATCGCGCACAGCTGATCCCACAATCTATGTGCTCGCGCCCACCACAAGGACACCACAATCAGCACACGTTCAGCACAACACGAATGTGTATACAGCTTGCGATCGCGTACAGCTCATCCCACACACGCCCAGAGAACCTGAGGTTGCCTGATTCAGTGTTAACCAAAAGCCAAAGCATGCCACACGCAAAAAATAAAATATGCCCAGAAACCCGGATTTAATTCTGCTGAGAACCTCAGGTTGCCTGACCCACCGTTCTCCAAAAGCCATAGCTTTGTACAGATCCAAGCCAAGTTGGGTAAAAATAGCGTTTGCGCTATTTTTACCGGGTCGTAGCAGTCACTGCCATCATTCCCATGGTCGCTGAACGATCGATCGCGGCGCCAGAGTCCCCTCTAGTTACAATAATAGCGAAAGTTGGGCTAGTTGGTGGTTCATACTTTGGAAGTAAAAACTGTACAAAAATATAGACAAGGACAGAGGAAGAGACGAGCGTGGTGTCATCTCTTCCACTGTCCTTGTCTATATTTTTGCGCTGTTTTTACTTCCCAAGTAAACCCCTCTAGTTAATTTTGTGAAACTCTATGCCAGGAAATTCTAGTAGGTGCAAAGCTAGCAACCGCGCCTGCACGCAGATTCGCTGCTTCAGCAGAAGATGCTCTAATGTCATACCATAGAAACGGGAGATGAATGCAACTCGACCGCGCCCCTGTTTCGTACTGCTTTTTTTCCCTCTTCGTTTGCTCGCTGTGTCAGAGGTGTTCTCTGGTGTCAGCTGTGCGAACGTTGCTACAAGCAACAGCGTAGTGCAGCAGCACTGCTTGGTGTTGTCTTCTCTAGTGTTCTGTGTAATGCCTGCGCGCTGTGTAATCTTAGGTGTAAATGCGTAAAGATTACGCCGTAATGACAGCATGTGCGGGGTCATCGCGCACGCGCCTGCACAGCCGTATGCTTTGCTTGCGCATATTGCGATTGTGGGATGCCGGATCACATGAAAGATGAATTCTTTGTGGCCTTGGAGGAAGGAAGTCTGCGCCAGGCGTGGTGGCAAAGAATGTGAACCATTGATTGTGGACTCAGCCCACCAGTATGTTGCCTGACCCCAGAGGTATGTGAAAGTGTGTTGTAATTAAGCCTACATTGCCTGCTCGACTCGTACGATTATGTTCGGTTGCCGCGCAGAGTTGTGGTTCTTCGAAACCTTCCCCATGTCCTTAATATATGCAGACCACGATGCCGTGGTCTGTATCGCTTTGCATTGTAACAAATTAAAGTTTATTTTGCAGTGGACTTTCCAATTTTATGACACGTAACACTTGTGCGTACTGCCGAAAAAGCATGTTTGATTGTGACGGGTACAGCTGCGCAAAGAACAATTGGTGCCAGCAGTGTTTTTAAACTCTTCTGTTCGTTGCTTCCAAAATAACAAAGGATATATTTAGCGTAGGTGGTGAGAGGCGTTGTATGCACCACGATATGCTGATGCAGTCTAGACAAGCGAGAAAAAAAAAATGAAAAAGCTGAACCTCATTCGAAACAGTCTTCTATTTGTCTGTGTGTTTAAAAGTGGGTACAAACTAAAGCTTAGAAAAAAAAAGCATTTGTTGCTTGCAATACTACGTAGCCCGAGTACGGCATACATACTAGCAGAGTTGTTCAATAATACTAGGCGTCACTGTGCACTATGCAGGTAATGCATCATAGAAGTGTTGTGCATGTTTAGCAGTCTCGTCGTCTAATGCACCCATAGTTCATATGGATTAACTGTGCTTTATATGTTTAAGTGCACTTGCTCGAGAAAGCCAACTGCATTTTACTTTGCAACAGTGCATGAATGAAGGTAGAGATAATAAGTGTCAGCTGCAAAGAAAACTGGTACACTGCCAGCGCTCGCTACATCGGCATGTTAATACACTTGCGTGAAGATCCGACAGTCTGGTTACCGTGTACTCTAGCATCATGCCTTGGTGGGCTACATGCTAGTTAGCATGTCGTGCTTTCTCTCAATCCCTGGTTTTCTCGTGAAATTTTTTCCATCTTGAAAGTAAGACCACTTCTGGATTAGTTATTTTCATTATTTATTTAGAAATACCACAGGCCAATGCTTTGGCCCAAGCAGGAGGGGAATTATAACAAGTGATAAAACAAAGCAAAAGAAAATATATACATGCAAAAAAACCCTGTAACACGAAATGAACATAATGCGTAAAAAAGAAGCAGCAATCACCCATTGACATCACCGAAAATTCACAATTGAGTGAATTCACAATTCAGTTCAATTGAGGTAGTTTCCACACCATTGCCAACACAACTTTCTCGTTGCTGCGGTAGTGATAGGGGTGCAGTAGATTACCTGTACTTTATTAAGAAAGTGACCCACATTTACATTCATTGCGTTTGTTTTTGTGTTTATTGTACGCACATCACCACATAAAATTGAGCCAGTTGATTTAAATTCAACAAGAAAGAAGGTGAGTCATGTAGGCACAGACAACAAAAAAGAACAAGACAGTGAAAATGTGGCTGTCAACTGAAAAGGCACACTGTGTCCTTCTAGTGAGCAATCATTTCCAAAAAATGGAGGAGAGTTAACATTTTCTTATAGAAGGCCTCAGAGTTGTGCTAAACATTTTCTAGGCATTGCCTCTGCGCTTGAAAATCTTAGCTGGCAGTAGTCCCCTAGATAATCAAGACTGTTGCCAAACCTTCGGTCGAAGCATTTTAATGTTGTAGACTGTATTGCCACGTCGTACCTTAGGTCTTCAGTCATCAAATAGTGTGTGCATGATGTTAAAAGCCAGCCTTAATGCCCAGATTATACTTCTGTGCATCTATTCGGAGGATATTATTCCAGCAAGCCAGGTGAGCATTTCGAGGCAATCTGTAAAATTCATGTGCAAACAATCAGTGCGTCTCTAATGCATGTAATTTGGCATAAATGAATGAAATGTGCAAAAGAACGCACCCAGTGAAATTGATTGAGATCCATTGACCTATAAAAATTGCCGGAGTTGCCATTTAAGAGCACAGCACTACTTTCAGTTTTTTCGCTCAGTTAGGTGTTCAGTCGCACACTGCGCATTCATACTGTCAAACCGCACAAGGTGACGGCAATTATGCAGAAGAATTTTACTTCTGTCAAAGCAACAGTGGGCTCTTCACAGGAAGGACCCCTGATTGAATCAACTAACTACCTGTTGCCACCAATTAAAGAATTAGTTTAATCTTTAAGTAGTCATAACTAATGTCTTCAGTATTCTACAATGTTTTCTACTGCAGAAAGAGTGATCAGGAAGGCAGCAATTAAATATTACATTTCTCCAACTTTAAAGCGCTTTCAGAAACTTTTCTTGAAGCACCTTGATCACCATGTTGATTGGGTGGTGCCACCAAATTTGGAGGCCCTAAAATGCCTTTTGTAGGCTTTTCCTCTGTACGCAAGGACACTCAGCACAAAGTGTTGAACTTTGCAAATGTTTAGAGCATATCTTAATTCACTTCCAAAGTGTGTCTAAATGTTCATTCTTGTGGTTGAAAACCCTCGCTGGTGCGACTGTCACTGACGTCACTGTGTAGGAAGTGTAACAAAAAATTTTAGTGACGCGACACCACATTATGGTAACATGCAATGAATAGTGACTGACCAATAACTCTGTTGCACCAGGCAACCAATAGGCTAACATACTAATTTTTTTCAGTGTGTTGGCAAAGTAGCCAAACTTGCTAGCATTTTGGAAAGTGCTTCGCATCGTCATGCAAACATTTGAAGGCAACATTAGATTGAGACCAGGTTGGTGGAGCCACTTTGAATCACTAAGATTTATTGGGGCAGCACAGAACTGTTGTTGCAGATATCTGGCACATTCTAATAGGGCTTGCAACTATCCACCAAACCAGAGAAAAGTGAATCTGGCCTTAAAACACGGTTATCCAGATTTAAAGAAACTGTAATTCTGCTTATCCGATTTGAATGAACGTGCATCCGGTTATTCGAATATTCAGAAACGAATATTTAGTCTCGCTAAGAGCTTATTCGAAATTTAAGTGCTATTGGATATGCACTGACACAACGTGTGCAGCTCGTTCATTCATTACTAATGTAATCACTAATGGCCCATGCAAAGACTTCCTGTTTCTCAGCTGTGCATGCACTTTCGCACCCTGCGGATATTCATATTGTTACGTTAAAGTAGAAGGGTGTTTATTAATGGTGTCGGTACCTGCACCAGTTCACATCTTCCTCCTTTCCTCCTCTCTCGGCTCATACCCGTTGCATTTCCCGGCTCCCAGACCAAGCCTGCTGGGCGAGTATGAATTACTTGGTTTAAGGTGGAACCCTAAGCCAAGTGAGCGACATGTACCAGCTGGGTTCGATTTGACCAATGGCCAGCTGATGTAAGCCGTGCTATCATGTATGTCAAATCACTCAAGCAATCAACAATGACGAATGGGGCACTGTACTGGGATAAAAATTTCTCGCATAGGCCTCATTTACGTTGTGGCATCCACAAATACACAAAGTCTCCTTTGCAGTGTGTGACAGACTGATGGCGGCTGTCATAGCTTTCTTTCGATCGGTGTTTCAAAGCCACAGTACGAAGACCGGCAATACGTCGAGTTTCTTCGGTTAGGCAGAGTGTCTTGGAGACAGAGTAGTTGCTATGGAAGTCAAATGGTAGAACAGTATCGATGCAGCTTAACAGGGAACCTGTGCAAAGGAGGTAAAAAGGACTGTAATTGGTTGTCTCGTGTTTGGCCGTGTTATACGCATAGGTAATGAATTGGAGAATGTCATCCCAGTCGTTGTGGTCAGATGATACGTACATGGCCAACATGTTAGTCAGAGTTCTGCTTGTACGTTCTACCAGCCCATTCGTCTGAAGGTGATAAGGGGATGAATGGCGGAACTGCAAATTGCACAGACGAACTAGGTCTTCGACGGCGTCCGTAACGAACTGACGACCATGATCACTCTGGGAGGGCCATGCCTAAGAATGATGAATCTAAGCAAAAACATGGCCACGCACGCTGCTGTCGAGGATGGTATTGCCGCAGTTTTTGCATAACGAGTCAAATGGTCGACGCATACTATCACTCATAGATTGTTGTTAGAGGAGCGTGGAAATGGGCCCAAAATATTGATGCGAACTTGATCAAATGGTAGATGAGGAGGTGGCAGTGGATGGAGAAGACCTGGCGGAGGAGTTGTAGGCCGCTTGTAGCGTTGGCATTGTTCGCAACTTGCGACACAGTGCTTGACTGTGTCCCGCATTCTGGGCCACTAAAAGTGCTCTTGTGTCCTAATCAAAGTTCTGATGAACTCCAGATGACCAGCTGTCATCGTTGTCGTGCATGGTTTTCGCTTTCAGTATGTCGAATTGTAAACTCTGTGGTACGACTAGAAGAAAGCGTGCGCCTTTAGCCGAATAATTTGTCTTGTATAGAAGGCCGTCACGGACACAAAAGCAGATGGGGGGCTCGAAGAGGCGACAAGTAATGGCTCCAAGCTAATATCAGCCTCTTGTTTTTTTTTTTGAAAGTAATTAAGTCTGGGAATATGAAAGAAATGGAGGCAAAACAGTCGTCAAATCTGTCTTCACATTCAGTCGTCTTCAGGGGAAAGCGGGAGAGACAGTCGGCAACTGCGTGGCCGTACTCCTGAAGTCGTACTCCTGAAATTCAAGAGCCCAACGCACCAGTCAATTAGTCGGTTCAAGAAGATCCACCAGCCAGGATAAAGCGTGATAGTCAGTAACGATAGTGAACGGATCTCCATAGATATACGGTTGAAATTTGGGTACCGCAAGAACTGCCAAGCATTCTTGTTCTGTTACGGTATAGTTGCACTCAGCTTTGCTGAAAGAGTGACTGGCAAAAGCCACTACGTGCTCAGCTCCTGGATGACGCTACACAAGTACAGCACCGATGCCACTAGCATCAGCGTGCACTTCTGTTGGCAAGGACGCATCGAAGTGACGCAGTATGAGCCCCAACGTTAGCAGAAACTTTAGCTGGTGGAAAGCATCGTCGCAAGCTAAAGTCCAGTTGAAAGGGATGTCATTTTGAAGAAGACATGTTAGGGGATTCATTATGTCGGTGAACCTCGAAACGAAACGATGAAAATATGAGCATAGGCCCAAGAAGCTCCTCAATTCCGCACCGGTTTTGGTGATTCGAAAGAGCTGACGGCCTCGATTTTTCATGGGTCTGGCCTTACTCCATTTTCGTCAATGGCATGTCCAAGTATTAATGTCTCCGTTTCACTAAACCGACATTTTTCAGAGTTTAGGATCAAGCCGGCCTGTTGTATAGAATCCAAAACAAGACTGAGACGTCTGATGTGCTCGTTCAGTGTGGTGCCGAAAATCACCACATCATTTAGGTAGCACAAACAAATTTCCCATTTAAATCCTCGAAGTATTGTGTCCATAAATCATTTGAACAATGGCGGTGCATTACAAAGACCGAACGGCATAAGTAGTAGTAGTAATAATAGACTTTTATTCAGCCACAATTTATAGGCCAAGCATTTCGACCGCCTGTGTGACCAGTCGACGCTGTTCTTCTTCCCCTTCGGCGCCGATCCAGTCGAGCCAGGAGGTGATGGAAAGGGATGGGGGAGGGTAATAGCTGGATTGCTGAGCAGTTGGGCAGTAAAACAGGCAGTGTGACAGGTCAGCGTATGGGGAGGGGCGATTAGGACAGCAGGGGTTAGACCTATATTTATAAAGGAAAAGGCGAGAGGGGGTTATCGGGCAGTTCATTTGAATGTGCCGTAGAGTTCGAGCCTCGAGCGCAGTGAGTGATGGATGAGGGGAAGGGTAAAGACGCTTGTCGAGCCGGAGCTGGAGATATACGTCCTTGATAGTGTGACGCAAGGAGATCTGCCCATCGTTATTCGCGGAGCTCTCGCTGTCTTCCGAAGGTGTGGGCCAGGGAATGAACGGTGCCCGGTGCAATATATCGCGGGCAAGCTCACGAGCGAGCTCATTGCCGTTATGACCCGAATGCCCAGGAACCCAGTGGAGGAAGACAGTGGAGGGTTGAAGAGCAGAGGCCGCTCGCTCGACCTCCAGTTGAAGAGCAGGGGGCAACGTGTTGTTCTGTATGTGACGGATGGGGGCGTGAGAGTCTGAGTAAATCGTGTACTCGGGGAGAGAAGGGAGGGAGGAAAATGACTGCATGGCGTGGACCATGGAAAGGACCTCGAGCGAAAGTACATTTGGCGGGTGTAAGTATGGCCCACTGGCGTGCGTGTCAGGTGCCGAAAGGTTTGGATGGTAGGTAATGTAGCCACACGAGCCCCGAGGCGCCATGTATGAGGCATCCGTGTAGGCAACTCCCTGTGTAGAGAGAGGAGGAGAATGATGCTGTGCTGCCGCATGACGCCGGCCGGCGTGAAGAACGGGAGTGATATTGGATGGGAGGGGAAGGATGCGAAGGTTAGAAGCAGCGGTGCTCGCGGCAGAAGGCAAGGTGGGAACGGAAACGGGAATGTGAGGGATACCGGCTTGGGCTAATAGCCATTGGCCTTGACGAGGGAGAGAAAGACGGGCAATCTGAGAGTCGTGGTGCAGAGAAATAAGAGAACGTAATGAATGGAAGAGGCCTGTGGCAAAGAGCTTAGTGGTAGAGGTAGTGGCAGGGAGGTTTAGAGCTGCCTTGTAGAGGCCTAATAGAGCTCTTTCGAGTGTGTTGAGTTGCGTTTGGGTGAAATGAACGTAGGGTACAAAGTACAACAACTTGTTGAGGGCAAGCGCATGTGCAACCCGGCACACATGAGCCTCGTGGAGCCCCGACTGTTGAGTGACAACACGTCGCAGGAGGTGGGTCACCGAAAGGCAAGTCCTTACAGCGTGATGTAGGGTCTGCGCGTTCTTT